TTTTTTTTTTTTTTTTTTTTTTTTGTTCAGGAGGAAGAACTACCTCAAGCCAAGAGAGCAAGGGTCTCGCTTGCCATCTCCTTGGGCAGATTGCGAGAACTGCCTCTGGACTGGTGAGTTGGTAGCACTTGAGAGCCGTCCCCTCCTCACAGAATGTTTTGGGTTGGAAAGGACCCCTAGAGGTCATCTAGTCCAACCTTCTTGCACCATAATACATATGGAGGGAGTGTTTGCAGCCCCAGTCTGCAGTCCCCTTCCTTTAGATGGAAAATGGTAATATCCTGATTCCCCTTGTTGGATTTTTCACATGACTGACCACAAAACTATTAATATCTGGATCCAGAGCTGGTTCAGCCAGACAACTCATTCCTTCCAAGAAGAAGAAAACCACAACTTCTTCTATCCCTGGAAAAACCTTTTGTGACTGCAAGACCAGCAGCTCAGATGTAGCAGAAGCAGTTCTGGTTTACTAAAACACCTCAGCGGAGAACGTCAACCAGCATGAGAGAGTTTGGTTTGTTTCTTCTGTGCCTCCTTCACATCTCCAGGAAGGGTGAGTTCTGAGCTTGCTACGAACCCCTGTCTGATCAGGGCTTTTCTTCTCTCTGTAGTCAAAGTGCCAGGGGAGTTGCCTGGTACAATAAACTCTCCAAGAATTGTACCATCCATCGTGTAGTTTAAAAGGATCCAGGTGCATGTGAGAATATTGGAAAACCTCAAAGGCTTGATTCTGCAATTGTCAGAGAGGTCTTTGGCTTGGGGTTTTTTGCATTTTTTGCTTTTTTAACTTGTGCAGGGAGTTCATCTTCATTTAACTTTTCCCCTGCATTGCTAGTTGCATGCAGCATTTCCATCACCACCCAGAAGTGCTCTTTTGTGGTCCTAGGAGTTATTATGCAACAGACACAATTTTCTCCAGCTCACATTTGTCTTCAAGTATGCACTTAAGTTCCATTAAACTCAATGGGATTTGCTTAGATTACTGTCAAACAGCGTTTGCTAGAGGAAGGCTAGTGTCTGGGGTGGTCTCCAGCCCTTGATCATGTTGTTGTCTTCATGGCCTTGCCACTGATAACTGGCAGATACACTGACACGACAACTCCTTTCAGGGGTTCCCTCCTGTCAGGTGTGTAGGCTATTTGCCCATGACCTTCTCTGTTTCCTGCGAGAGCTTCCACTCCAGGAACTAATGGAGGCTGGATATTAGGAAGAGGAAGATGTGGAAGACCTACCATGCTAAAACTTTAAGGTTAAGTTATGCACAAGAGGCTGACAACTCCCTCTGCTCATAACCTAGGCACTGTTTCCATAGAAATGGGTGGAGCTGGTGACATTAGAAGCACTTATTTTTAACATTATTCATCATGTGGAAGGCAAGGGGGTGTTTAAGTGCTAAAAATAATGTTCTTTGCTCAAGATTTAGAAAAAAAAAAGCAAACCAAAAATCTGACAGGGAAAAGCAAATTACGTACTCAAAAGCATATTATCTGCAGCTCTCCAAAAGTAAGGGTTACAGTGACATAAGAGCAGTGTAAACAAAATACCATGAAATAAACTTGAAAGAAATAGCATTTTCTGTTTTCACTGCCAGGTCCTTCTGTCTAAAGTCCATTTGGACTTGCTGGAACTCCTGTGGCCATGTAACCTTGAATATGAGATTACCTGGGCTGCAAAAGGTGCTCATATAGTTACAGTGAAAGACAAGGCAGCCCAACTCCAGATATCAGTCATCAAAATAATGGCTTCATGCTGATTCCCAATAAATAACTTAAAGGCAGAGAGCGGGTCCTGCGTTGGCCTTTGTCCATTGTGCAGCACACAATAGATTGATACAAGCTGCACCACCACTGAGGTATTTGACAAAAGTATTATGGAGAACGGACACATGAACAAGCAACAAATCTTATCTTTGAGTTTACACGATTCACCCGACAGCTGAATGCCCAGAGACCACAGTGAAGTCAGCTGGACAAGGGATGGGTGGCAATTATTTACGGGACGCCTTTACATTTTTCAACAGTTATTCTCAGCTATTGAGGAGAAAGCTCTTGATTTAATGAAGCCATCAGGTGAGCTTTGTAAGACAGGAACAGCTACAGCTCTTGCAGTTAGCAAGGCAGTGGATAGATACGCATTTCTACATGGAAAGCACTGCCTACAGGTGCTGTTTGTTGATGCTGTTGGTTCCTGGGGAAGGGAAACAGATGAGACATTGAGTTTTCCCTATATGCTTCCAAGATAGGGAGCACCCATTCAGGTGAAGGCTGTTTTCACCACTGGACAGAAATGATCAGACTGGGTCTGGTGGCAGCGAGGCTCAGCTCCCTGGACTGTGCTAGGATTTACCAGGATTTACTAAATGTGCCCAAGAGAGGAAAATCCCAAAAGTTGGGGACATCTCAGCTAGAAAACTCAGTATTTCCTTTGCCATGACACCAGGACAAGGCCTGTCTGGGAAGATAGTGGCAGCTAGAGCCCACGTAGTGACAACCCGCTCTGCTAACAGTGAGATGCTTTCTTTGATGTCAAGGGCATCCTCCTTCCTACAACGGGAGCTGATACAGGGAACCTGCCTGTTCTCACCAGTCCTTGTACGATGAGTATCTCCAAGTCTTCACTCAGATCCGGTTGCACCTTATGAACACGATGCTACTTCGTGATGATAGCAGCATTGATCCTTAGAAGCATCAGCTGTTGCTACCCTCCCCATGGGTAATGCAACCACCAGCTGATTAGTGCAAGAAATACTATCACCTAGGAGTTTGTGTGAGCATGCACTCAAACGCAGGGCTGCTACACTGACAGCATTTCAGTGCATAAAGCCACCAGATCTCTGACTACATGCCAAACTTATTTTTAGCTTTTTCTTTTTTTTTATAATATATTATATATATTTTTTAAGTATTTTTTTTATAATAAAAAGCTTTTCCTCCAGGCACATAAACGTCTGTAACTGCAGAAGACTCTGTTAAACAACTTGAGGTGCTATTGTTCACTTTACAAACAAGAGGCCTGCTTAGGAATTAAATCCCTTTCAAGATGAGCTAGTCAGCCCCCTGAGCTCTGCTGCAGTCCGGTACCATATCTAGCTACCATAACTGGGCTATGTAATCATTTGCAAGTCCCCAGCAAGAAGGACAGCACAGGGCCCACCAAGGGAGCAGAGCATCCATTTTCTGAGCAACAACACAGCAGGTGCAGGAAGGGTGCCCAGTTTCCCTCTTAAACACTCCAGATAAATCAGTCTTGATCATTTCTCTTTGCTTCTAGGTGTGCAGTCCAATGGCTGGTCCGTTCATGTCCCATCTGATGTTACTGGTGAACTTGGGAAGATGGTTGTCCTGCCCTGCACTTTCACACACCCCTACAAAACATTTGACCGGACCCTCACTGCCATTTGGAGGATCAAGGAACCCTACAATGGCACAATAGTTTTCAAGTGCATTAGTCAGAGCACCAGTGAGCTCTGCAAGACCGCCATCAGCCTCAAAAACAAATACAAACTGCTTGGCAACCCCCGCCACAAGGACCTTTCCATCAGGATTGACAATCTGACCTGGAGCGACAGTGAGAGGTACTTCTGCCGGGTGGAGCTGTCCGGAGATATCCACGACAAGTACTTTTTTTTATTTGATTGGTAAGAGGGCACAAGAGCCAAAGGAGGCAAACCCACCCCGCAGGGAAGTGAGAGCCACAGGTTGTGGAAGCTGATGAGATGCTAACAGAAGTTGACCTGAGATGGTCTTCCAAAGGGTCGGCTTTTCCAGCTCTGAGGGTAATTTATAACCTTTGGGCAGGGAATACTCATTGCCTTCTGCAGCCTTCCAGTTTGAGGTGATGTGCACAACACAGGGAAGGGAATAGGAACAAAACTGGTAAGGAAATAACCAGGCTCTGGCTGCTGGGGAAAGAACCAGCCCAGTCTGGGGCATCCATGCTCATTGCAAGGGGGCTGGACTAGATGACCTTTAAAGGTCCCTTCCAACCCAAACCAGTTTATGTTCCCACTTTGTCCCTGCAACACAGGTTCTGTGCAGGCAGCAGAGAGGCAAGCTGGGGTCAGCAGCCCACAGGGTGGGGTAAAAGATGTCCTTGTTACCAGTTACCAGGATTTAAACTGGAGTATGTGTTTGCAAATGTAAGCACAAGCAGGCCCGGGTGGTAACAGGGGTTTGGGAAGACAAGATACGCAGCATTCATGTGCCATAGGTCCAAAATCCTCTGGAGCAGGAAAGGCCAGAAGAAACAGCCTGAAAACCATCACTGATCAACAAATGTCAGACCCGGGGAGCTGGCAGTCTCTATTAACACCTAAACATCCTTGGGTTCACCTGACTATTGAGCAAGACCCAGATTAGACGACTCAAGGAGAAGCTTCACCTCCTCTTGAAGGTTCTTACTGTCTCCAGCTTGGGCTGAAACACTGTTTTGAATCCTGAGGAAAAAAAAACCAAACAAACCCTGAGCTCTTACCCATATCTGACTGAAAGCAGCACCTCCAGCTGCCATGGTCACACTTAGCCAAGCACAGCCAAGCCTGTCCCTCTGGAGAGCATGTGGTCTCAGGCTCCTCCAGTCTTTGCCAAGGGATCACTTACAAACCACAGAGGCAACAGCCACAGGGCAAAGCATCTTTGAGGCAACACCAGAAAACAGTCACACAAGGTGAGAAGTCCATCCATGGGATGGATGTCTGCATGGAAGTGACATGTGAATCCCCGAATGATCTTGGGACCCGTTGCGATAGCTGTTGGATGGACGTACGGCAGCGTGTTGCTCCTTCCTGCCGAGCCTGTAGTCTAAACAGACACAGTGAAGGAGAGAAACGCAGAGAGGTGAGCCCTACAGCAGCCAAAATCCGAGTCTCCAAGTCACACACTGCCTATCAGCTCCTACTGAAGCCCACAAGCTGCTCGTAGTACAAAAACCCAAGGCAAGAGCCTGCTGCTGCAGCGGCACGTGTTTGCTCTGCCAGCTGAATAACACGGCTGAACAAACGACCTCATCACGGCAGAGACAGCAGAGCAAGCAGGGGTGAGTCTCCTGCACAGCCCTGGCCGTCCAGGTCCCTGTGTCAAACGCACCCCGGGGCTGCGATGTGCTTTGCCCAGAGCCAGCGTGCAGTGATGAGGAGACTCTGTTCAGGAAAGCTCTCATCCCATCTCCCTGGGCGCACTTTGCAGATCAAGGAAGCGCTGGAAGACCCAGGTGGCCTCATGAACAGACTCAGACCTTACCCACGGGTGCATAGGTCCCACGGGTTGGATGGTTTTGCTCATGAAGTGAAACTGTCTTATGCCTGCTGTGCCCTGCGGGCATCCAGACAGGGCCCGAGGATGAGCTTGGTTACTTCTTGGGAAGTTCTGCATAGTCAAGGCTCTGCTTCACTGGGAGCAGCTCCTAAACACCCACCCACACAGAGCAATGACCAGGGCAGGATGGCAGCAAAACCCATCTCAGGGTCTGTCTGGATTTTAACACCAGAGGAATGATAACATAAGCAGATATGGTACCCAGGCTGCACCCAGCTTTCGGAGTGGGTCCTGACTGTATGAATGGGAGGCGTTAAATAATGCTGAAAAGGTTACTCTAAACTCTAAAACACACAGACACATGACAACTAACACAGCTGGCTTTCCTACAGATCAGTCTTCCAGCCTCAAACCTGCATTACACAAACAAGGGAGAAGAGGTGCTATAGGTGGTTGCAAGCTATGCGTTTTCTGTCCAGCCTGACAAAAAAAAGAGATGAACCTTGAACTCCTGCTTTTCCTCCGTGAAGACACTCATTTGGTTCCCTCCAGTTTCCACAATGCCTTTAGGAGCCAAATGTATGAAATGGGTCAACAGGTCCAGCAGAAGACCAATGGGTAAGAAAGCTTGGTCATATCGGCTACTCTTCCTTAGCGGACCTAGACCAAAGATGACACATTCAACAGCGCGTCTCAACTTTTTACATCCCCCAAATTATCTTTGCCACTGTTCATTCAGTCACACAATCCCACATGCTACAAATACAGGACACGAAATTAGTGGCCCTGTCTTGGCATTGGAGTGCTGCCCCAAAGCAACTGGGAACCTACCTCAGCTGTTAGGTGGTCACTACAGGGTTGGACAGAAACAAAAAAATATGTTGTAGCAAGGAGCATAAATGTTCTCTGAGTGTAATTTGCCAAATCTGGAAAGTCTCAGACACTGAGCAAAGGGCTCACACAGGTGGATCTCTCCATGTGTGCTCTGGAGGTCAGAGGCCAAGGGAACAGCCATGAGACACTTGGAGAGCACCATGGTTGTCTTGTCCTGGACCACGTGGAGATGCAGCCAGTCCAAAAAGGTCACCAGTGCCTACACCACGAACAGCACGGAGCTGCAACTGCAGAAAGCAACCCATCTTCATTGATGACTCCCCCACTACAGCACAGTGCCTCTGTCTTCTGCCACCATGGAGGGTCACAACAGCCAAAGTTGACCGAAGCTCAGAAGGCTGTGCATGGCTTTACAGGGATAGAACATAAAGGAGTGCACATCGAAGGGTGAATCCTTTCACTCTTCTGTCCAGCATAGGCAGGGTGGGGAAATCTGGGGGAAAAAAGCACTGAGAAAAACAAGGAAGGGGAGTTTTGATCCCAACGTTACCCTGATGTAAGGCGCTGAGGGTCCACCAAGACCAAGCGCTCATTCCAGGTATATTGTGCTAGACCTGCCTTTGAAACCTGATGCACTTCCCCCCCCCACGTTGTGATTTCTGCAGCTGCCCCCAGGATCATTAACATCACCGTCACCTCCAATGGGGATCGCACCTTCCAGGCACGCTGCACCGCTGAGGGGGAGCCAGCGCCCACTCTGACCTGGACCGGACCACCCCACAGCAACCTCACCTCCACCACCAGCATGAACCACCGCGTCACCAAGGAGCTCCAGTACCTGGCCCACGATGGAAAATACACCTGTACGGCTGTCAACAGCCATGGGAGAGCAGAGGGAGCGGTGTACTTCTATAAATTCAAAGCATCCAACAGTGCCTTCTTCCTGATCCTGATCTTCGTGCCACTGGGAATTAAAGTGCTCATTTTGCTGGTGATACTGGGCTTCACCGTTTTCTCGAGAGGAGGTACGTATTGCTATTTCCCTCAGTAGTCTTCCTCCAGCAGACTGGTAACCAGTGATGGGATGCAGCAGACAAAGTCAGGCAAGACGGGTTGGGTTTGGTTCAGGGTGGGTTTTTTAATGATTTTAAGACCTTCCACTCTAGGAGAAAGGCATTTCATAGAGTCATAGAATCATTTAGGTTGGAAAAGACTGTTGGAAAAGGGCTGTTGGCCCTCTTGGCCACCTGGCCACCCTGCTGGCTCATATTCAGCCACCTGTCGACCAACACCCCCAGGTCCTTTTCTGCCAGGCAGCTTTCCAGCCCCTCTTCCCCACATCTGTAGCGTTGCATGGGGGACCAACATTACTTATGGGAAAGCTAAGAACAAGGACCTCCTGGCTGTCTGGTTGCAGCTTTCAGACAGGAGGTCTCTGTTGGGAAGGGACCTTTGAAAAGACAGAGGGCAGAGGAGTTTCCCTACGCCCAAGGAGAAAAGCTAATAACCGCCCTCTAGTGCGGCTTCCCAGCAGCTCTAGGTCAGTCCTGGCTCCCCAGCTTGCTCTGACCGCACTGCTAACCCACGTCTTCCTTCCCAACTTCACAGGTCCCTCCTCTGCCCCATCCAGCCTGGCCCGGTAAGGATGTTCTGCCTTCTATTCAAGTTACTCAGCAGGAGGGTGGAGATGGCTAAGGAGAGAAACACAACATGTCCTTGGTCTTGGCAACAACCTTCTGGCCTGAGAGCAGGCTCCTGGGACAAGGACAGGGTTGGGCTGACGATCAGGCAAGGTGGTGTGAGGGACAAAGGCTCAGGCTCTGCTGGGAGGAGGCTCTGGCTTGGGTACAGTTGAGAAGAGACCCCACTCATGGGAGGAGAAGGGACTGGGGCAGCAGGATGGAAAGACTATGGCATGTGGATGCTGCAGCAGCAAGGGGCTAGCAGAAGTTCAGGTGGGCCATAGGCCTGGAGCATTGTAGGAAGCCACATTAGGCTAGCAAAAGAACCACCCACCTATGGGACAGGTGAGGGGAACAGGCTAGGAAGGCATCTGTGGCAAGGCTGGTAAATGATGAACAAGAGAGGAAAACTGCAACAGAAACTTTCCCCCCCTCCCTCTGCACCCCAGTCTCTAATGGGGCAGAAAAAGGGGCCACATCAGAGCTCATGACCTCTGCAAAGCATGTAAGAAGGTATGGAGATGCCAAGCAGCCCACCTTAGAGCCAGCTCAGGTGTGGCAGGGCCCAATTCTTTGGCTGGTATCCATACAACACTCCCACTGTACCCTTGGCATTTCCCATTACCCAGCACACCACCATTCTTGGACACTCCTGACAGCTGTGGTGGCCAAGCTAGAAAAGGATAGGGGAAAAAAACCCACACAGACTAAAAACCAAAACCAACCCTTAGGCTAAACCTAAAGCAGCTGTATCTGAGGTAATTGCATCCACTTGGGGCTGCTTCTTTCCAACACGGGTTTTCCCTATGTGATGCCTCCTTCCCTCACTTTACCCAAAAAAAAGGCCATTTCAGCAGGGCAGTCAGGTGTACAGCATCAGGACACAGGCAATGAGACAACGGCAAATTTAATCCTACAGTTAAATTTGTAATAATTATTTGCAAAAGCACAGCTTTTGCTGGTTTAACAGCATCTAAACCATACCACAGCACCCTTGATAATATTTGTATAGAAACATACATAGATGAAAGCTGAAAAACCACACTCTACATGAGAAGACCCTTCTCAGGAGAGGTTTGCACAATCTCCCAAGGCTCTGAGCAGCAGGACAGTAGTAGGAGTTAACGCTATCAGTGTAGGGGATCAGTCTGGATGCTTTTAGATGTAAAACATTAGATGCAACTCTGACACTTAAAAAACACCTGCTGCAGAGGGGAGGATGCGTATCGGACAGTATTGCAGACACTCTGACACTCCTTAGCGACTAGATTAAGCCACTTATGAAGCAGCCAGAAATGTGTCTTCACCTTGTTCACTTCTTCCATGCCAGGCCACAGCTGCAAGACTCCACCTATGAGAACTTTGACCGCAGACAGGGCTGCAGCCAGGCTTTGCCGACAGAACGAACAGCATCGAGACGCAGCTGAGGACCTGGGCGGTCTCACCCGCGCTCACGGCTGGGATTCCCATCTGCTCCGTACAAGGCTGCCTCTTCCCAGTGAATGCAAGGCTGACGTTGACTGATGCACAGAAGGTCAAACAGGCCTTCTGAGTGTGTGTTTTCCACCCCTGTTGCTGCTTACGAGAAGCCTTTAAAGGGAAGAGAGAAGAAAGAAGAGAGAAAACAAAGAGGGGTGGAGCTGGAAGAGCAGAAGAGGATCTACATAGGATGTCAGTTCTAACCAACATGTGTGTTTTTAACCCATATCGGATAGTGTTTAGCAAGCAGGTAACAGCCTACCACTTTCTCACATCTTTCTGCTTTGTCATTTTTCAAACATTACTTCAAAAAGCAATTTTTGCCACTTCCCTTGTCAAACCCCATGCAGCTTCCTACAGCCAGCAAGGGAAGCATTTTCATGTTTCAAATACCAGCTGTGAAAAAATGCTACTGAATTTCAGCGGGGAGGGGTGTGTGTGTCGTATTTTATTATTATCATTATTATTGTTATTATTGTTATTTCTTAACTTCTAGAAGAGTTTATTTAAGAATTTAAAGGGCAACTTAAGTTTCAAGAGGGAGTCCAAGCAAAAAGGAAAAGAGGTTTTCTGAAAGCTGTTCTAGCTGAAAGCAAGGCATTCAAAGTGTGGTCTGTACTATAACTCTGCTGCAGCTCCTAGTGTTCATGTGCACAGACAAGCAGAATCTCAGAGCTTTGTGATAAATATGCTGTGACAATGTTCCAATAAACCCAATTGGCTTTTTTTTAAAAAAAAAAAGAAAAGAAAATTATTACTAAACAATCTCTATCTCTCTGTTACGTGAAAAAGTTCCTTTAAGGCCTGATTGCTCATCTCAAATTCTCCTGAGATGAAGTCACTACTGCAAAGTTGCTGGCCACCCACAGACGAGTCTCTAACCCCACTGTGAACACACTCCAAGACGAGGTGAAGAGTGGCACAGGATGACCCAAGCCAACCCAGAGTCTTGGTCAGGCAGGCAAAGGTCCAGGAGAGGGCTGCTGAAGAGCAATGGGTTGGCATACGGGAGGAGGAGGAGATAGAATGAAAAGACAAAGGAAAAAAAAAAAAAAAAGGAGCAACATGAACCTACTTTCAGGTTCGTATCACTGGATTTGATGC